TTGAGCGCTAAATCGGCTGCTTGCACTGTATGCTTCTCGGGAAGCTGAGAATGTTTCGGAGTGTTCTATGGTCTGCTGGGGTAATAATATAGTGTAAAGCACATAGAGCCTGCTGTTGAGCGGGGATATGCGCTATACAAATGCTATTTATTATTATTATTATTATAACCCCAACAAGAACCCGCCCAAGCCCTAACAGGTTACTCAAGCTGTCCTCGTCAATCTCAGCTTTTCAATCAATCAACACAGCACATGGCGTAGACTGTGGTCAGTCAGGCGAGACTCATGATTGGGACGGACTTCCGTAACGAGCGACCACCCCAACATTCACAATATAGAAGAGACCTAACACTAACCCTAATCCAAACCCTATCCTTAACCCTGACCAAACCCCCAACCCTATCCTTGCCCCGGACCCACCCGTAACCCTACCCCACCTCAAATCCTAACCCTGACCCAACCCTAACCTTATCCCTACCCTTACCCCTGACCCAACCCCTAACCCTACCCTTACCCCTACACCAAACACTAACCCTCTATTCTCTACTCTGTTTCACAGCGATCGCACGTTACGGAATTCCTCCCTATGATTGAAGATGGTCATGTGAAAATGTTACGGACTGCACGGCTGTTTTATTGTCGTTTGAAAAGATCATGTAGCCCACCATAATGTTTTTAGCTTTAGTTTTAGTAGAGGTTTCACGGCGCTCGCAACTGCATAAGGTCATATGAGCGCCAGAAGATTAGAGGGGTCACAAGAGAGTAACAAACATTTTTTAAAATAGGAGATAAGGACGATAGACTTTTCATAGGAAAGAAGAAGCAAACCACACCAGAGCACCCGCCAACCACCCACATAATATGTTTGTAATGTCCCTTGTAAAGTCCTTATTGTATTAGTTAAGTTTCCCCTGGTCAAGGTCTTCTACAGGCTGATACTGCTCAGTCCGAATCTCGAAAAGAAATTGGGTTCGTTCGTCTGCCATTTCACATGGTTGACCGTCAAGTGAGTTGTCACCGAGGCGAACGTACCACAGTACGTTCAGGGAGACAGAATGTTTGATAGGAAAGAAGGAGCAAACCACACCAGAGCACCCACCAACCACCCACAGGACAGAAGTAAGTGTTATAAAAAAAGAACGGAATTAGCTAATGTGGAACACACATAATATATATACACACACACGCACATACACATGAACACACATACACACACACACACACACACACATCCACACACACACATCCACTCACACACACACACACACACACACACACACACACACATCCACACACAGACTAAACATATATATTTACACACGAAACCAAACACACACACAAGTACACAAACACTCACATCCACACACAGGCTAAACATATAGATCTACACAC